ACTGTTTTTGAAATGTACTCCTTCAGAATGGAATACACAGTTCAGAACATGCAGGTGACAAATGTTGTCGTCTTTCTAGAAACAAACCTATTTTTCCTTGCCAAGGAAGCAGGCTGGAATATGGGGCACTGGTAGCAATAATTCTGTTTAAAACAAAAACAAAAATAAAGAGCCTCCCCCTCAGTTCATATCCCCTTCCTAGAATGTGTACTTTTTGTAACTAAATATTTACTCCATTGTGCACTTGAAATTATTCACTGGATAGTGCTGCTCCTTGTTTCTGTTATATTCAGTATGAAATCTAAGTTGATATTGGACAAATGCATTTGCAAATAAATCAGCCACTAGGATTCCTTGAAGTTAAGAGTTTGGCTTTGTCTACCAAAGTTTAAGATTATACAGTGTCTTTAAAAATCAAGAGAATTGGTTTCAGAGGTAGATATCACAGAAAAACATCTGTTGAGGATTCACAGAAAGGAAGATGAATGCATTAATGAAGCAGTGTTCAGCATTCAAAGCCACTGTTTTTAAATATAAAAATAAGCTGCCAAGAAGAGTTAGGATTAAAAAAGTAGAAAGGGGAAGAAAGAATAGGCTAATGCCACAACTTTAGATAAAAATATGGCACCCATAGTGTTCACTAATACAGTAAAATCCCCAAAGTACCAACAAATGGTAGAGGTTCCAAACCTTTAAGTTCCACAGAGTCGCAAAAAGGAGATTGCCTGTTTTCCTTCCCTCCTACCTTCATGGAGTGGTTGCCTACCTGACAGTATAATGGAGATAGGAAATGTGTAGAGATTTCTGGAAGCTAACCTTTTCTAATTCTTTCATAGTAGACTCACTCCAGGCATCAAATGTTGGTTCTGTCCTACTGTAGCTACTATTTCTTTGACCTGTTACTAGGCTGAGGCAAGATCTCTGGGTTCATTTCCCCATCATCATATTACTTTTGGGTCACATATAGCTCTGATATTTCCCTATCCCTTTTATCTCCCTATTGATGCACTCTAGCCACTGTCAGGGTTCTGTTCAGAGGGGCTCTTTATGCTGCACTGCAAGCTACTGGGGAACGATGAGAAACAGATTACAACCATCATTCTTTTTTTCCCACCCTACAAATGTGTTCCTTTGTTTCCCACTGGGAAAAGTTTGTGCCTGCTGCACTGTCCAGGTAACCAAAATCAAGAATTGTTGAATGCTTCCTGGAAGGACTTCTCAACAGATAGATTAAACCAGAAATCAAGAACTTCAGTAGATTACTGGAGCACATAATTTAGAACTGTTCATTCAAATTATTTTAGAACAGTGACTCTCAACCTTTCCAGACTACTCTACCCCTTTCAGGAATCTGATTTGTCTTGTGTACTCTCAACTTTCACTTCACTTAAAAACTACTTGCTTACAAAATCAGACATAAAAATACAAAAGGTTCACAGAACACTATTACTGAAAAAATGCTTATTTTCTTATCTTTACTATATACTTATAAAAATCAATTGGAATATAAATATTGTACTTACATTTCAGAGTATAGTATATAGAGCAGTATAAACAAGTCATTGTCTGTATGAAATTTTAGTTTGTACTGCCTTTGCTAGTTCTTTTTATGTAGCCTGCTGTAAAATTAGACAAATATCTAGATTAGTTGATGTACCCCCTGGAAGACCTCTGAGTACCTTCAGGGCTACACGTACCCCTGGTTGAGAACCACTGTTTAGAACACTTATAGGCCTCAGTCAAAGTACACAGTCCTTGGACTTGGAGGAGAGCAACAGCTTTGGCAGATTACCCTCTGGCACAGATAGTGTGAACAGTATGTCCCAAATGCCTTGCTAGCAATAAAAGCGCAAACAAGGCTTGTCAGTGGTATAAACAGGAGCAATGTAATTTTGTCATGTCCATGCCCAGCTAGCACATAGACAAGACATCCTCCAAAAGGTGCTAAATCAGTTGTTATCTGGATGTGCAGAATTAGCTATTTTCTAAAAGGTTCCTATTAAAATGGGAATATGAAGCTGCATTTTTATAGGCTAAAGAGGATGGAAACCAAGCTTGTTAAAATTAGGTAATTATCAATAAGATCACTTATGGGAAATAATAATTAGAAGTATATGTACATGTAAATACATGCACCATATGTACCCAATAGCACAGATAAAACAATATGTGTGTGAGTTATCCTGATGGTTTCACAATGTGTTTTGTAGTTCAAGTCAGAGTCTTGCAGTATGTGAGAATTTAAGCCTGGAAAGTTCTAGAATTGAGGAACTGATTAGACATGAGGAAACTGATAAAACTGTTAGAGAAATATAGTTCTTTAGAACTGTAAAATTGTTCTAATGAAGGAGTCAAGACAGGAAAGGATAGCAAAACAGTAGGATATGTTGTTTTACCAGAAACAGTATCTTAATTTAATACGTAGGAAAATACACCTACCTAAACTGACTATTAAAGTATGTAACTGTACTATAACTCACAAGTTAAATCAACACTTATTTTTCTTTAAATTTCCCGCAGCTCCACCAATGAAAACACTAATGTATGGTGGCTGTTAGTGTTTTAATCACTATATCATGTAATATGATTTAGAGCTGATATAGGCAACATGATGAAAAAATGATTGCAGAGGTCTGTCTAAATTAGCTCTCCCATTATTGCCACCACCAGCATAACTGCAATTCTGGGTAAGTTTAAGTAAAATGCTAATGTAGAAGAGACCACATATGGCTGTGTTCTGCATTCTTTGCACACCCAACCAAAGTCAAAGTTTTGTGTGAGTAAGGAATGCAGGATCTAGAAATTTAATATTATACATAAATGTGCTACTTGCCAGTCAGGGAATAAACTAGCATGTTCTGTGATTCAAACTCTTAGGCTGCAGCAGTACATTAATTCATTACCATGCTTTTGTTCCCATTTTCAGTACTGGAGGAAGCAGAATAGCTAGTTTTACTTTTCTGTTATGTGAATAAGGCAGGCCAAGTGCATAAAACAGGGCAGCAGGCCTGAGTAAATTTAAGATCAAATAAAGAATGACTTAAGAAAAAAATATCCAAAAGACACATTGAGGAAGAAAATGCATCAACATCAGTTTAAACAGCTGTATAGTTAGAGAAACATACTTACTCAGCTAATAGGTACAGGGTCAGTTACTCCCTGTAAGGTCAAAGACCTTACTGAATCCTGAATAAATGGAGAAAGGTGGTAAAAGATGAGATCCTAAACAAATTAGAAATAGAGAAGGTTTAGAACATCAAGACATGAATGGTAATCCCCAATAGATGAAAAGCTGAGAGTTTATATTGACTTTGAGATAATGAATATTTTAGCTAAAGATTGAAGAACTGATAAGAAACTAGGAACAGTCAAGTTAATTTCTGTTTTGTGGGAAGACAGACAGAAATTAGCAGATTTTACTAAAGTCCTTGTAAGGATAACAGATGTTCAGGAATAGAATTAAAATGGTAACTCAGGTAAATTTTGTTTGTTTTAATCATCTTTTAGTAATTATACTACTCAGGTTATGTGAAGTTTCAATAACAGATAAAAGAGCAAAGTGTTAACAATGTCTTTATAGTGGCAATTTGCTTTGAGATTTTACATTACAGAAATAGCTTTTGCTGTGAACTCTAAATACTTCTGTAGTAACTTTATGCTGTAGTCCAAAACTAAAAATCTAGAATTGATAGCCTTGTCTGGTTTGTGGGTCTCGTATGACTTTGCTACTACATAATTTGGAGAGGAATATGTAGAATAAAAAGTAAAGTAGTATTGCCAGCCTTGAATGTAAAAAACCGTGTCAGCCCACCAAATATCATGAGATTGACTTAGAATTATGCAGTTTTTAAAAATATAATAAACTCCTGGTTCTTCTTATTTGTCTTCTAGTTTTTGAGCCTGCAGGGTGTACTATTATCACATTTTCAAGCTTTACTCCTCAATCGTGTGAACTAGAATCTTACTTTCTTTAAATGAAAACGGAGAATCTCAGGTATTCACTTGTCTCAAGGAAAGGGTCTCTAAGTAAAACATCAGATATAGTTAGACTCATGACAAAATCATGAAAGCTGGCAACAAACAAAATCTGGCCCCACTAAAGTCAATGGCAATTGACTTCACTGAATGACTTCAGTGAGGCCAGAATTTCTGTGTCGATTTCTGTTAAGTAAAGCCAGGTGTGAAAGGCTTCACTTAAAAGTGGTTGGTGATTCAGTAGATGGCACTGTATCCTTTGGGTCATAACTAAGCCAGTGCTTTAGCATGCTGCTAGGCTGTCTTTCAGATGAAACCTAGAACCACAATCCATGTAATTTGAAATAATTAAAACTCATGGCACTCTTCACAAGGGTAAGCATAAATCTTCAGTTTCAGAAAAGGCTTACTGACCAAAGTTCAACTCAGGCAGTCATATTTTGCGTACCTAAACTTTCCCTAGCAGTTTCAGTTGAATAAGTTATTCTATACTTCCCCTTCTAAAAAATGTTGAGTAGACGTTGCTGGCACAGAATGGCTGCCATGTTCATACACAAGCAGTAAGAGTAGCTAATCAGACGAGAAGTGATCCCTATGTATAAAATGTAGTCTATATGGTGCTTTGAGATCTTTTGAGTTGAAAGATACCTTGTGAATATGAGATCATAAAAATAGCGACGCTCCTGATTCTGGCAGCTTCTCAGATGCCCAAGACTGAGAGTCATCTTGTTACCGCCCTACCTCAATGAGAGAGAAAGACTTGCTTGTGCTTAACTGGATGTCAGCTCCCTGGCACAACCTGTCTGTTAGCTACCCAAACAATCTCCTCAGGGCTGGGCCAGCCCTTATTTTACCTTGCAGGTAATAGGTGTACATCAGCCCTCCAGCCCCTCTGAAAGCGTTCCCCTTTAGTATTCAGCCCTAGCCACTGGACACTCACAGATTTGTTGTCCCCAAGGGAATAGTATACACAACTTGACTGGTACAACTCAGGTTCAGGTCCGTTATAACATCATAGCCCTGAGATATAGTTATAGTGAAAACAATCATAAGTTTATTATCAAAGATAAAGATTTAAGGGATATTGAGTAAGGATAATGGACAGAAATGGTTACACGTCAAACAAAAAAGTATAACACACTTCTTAAGTCTAAACTTAACTTTAACAGGCTAAAATCCTTGCCTAAAGTAGTTTCTCACCTAAGCAATCTCCCAGCATTACTAATGTGTCACCAATGTGGCTGGGATCCACCTTTCATGAATTAAAAAAGCACTGTCCTTTTTGCTCCCTCAGTGATGGATAACAAAATGTCCTTTTGCATCTCCTTATTTCCCAAAACTCATTATTTTATCCCCAGAGTCAGGATAGCCCCATGATTCCTTTCCTGGTGTTCTGGGTCCAAGTTGTTTTCACATCCTTGTGTTGACTCCATACGCAAAACAGCCTTCCATTGTGTTGGCTTACAATGCTTAATCTTTTATTAGACACCTCACGCAACCCTTTTTGGATAAATACTATGAAAACAGTGTGCTAACTGTTGTCAGTTTGTCCAAGCCTGATAGATGTGAACTCTTTGCAAGTTGGCACTGAGTGGGTCGTAGGGTCCCACTGCTGTACTCTGGCTGCTTTGTATGGACAAACTCAATAACTGTCCCACCTCATTTTTGCTGTGGGAAGTACTGTCAAGAGAGCAGGGGTGGAGTGTGAGAAAGGAACAGCACGCCAGCACTAGGAGGCACTTAGCGTGAGATGAGTAGCCAAGGTACAAAAAATTCATAAAAGCAGAGTTAAAATATCTTATAGACAAAGATGATGGATCTTCCAGAACCTTTTTGATGGTTGAGTCCTTCATTTTTGATATCCAAATTCTGTCCTTTAATTTGTACAAGTAACTCAGTTGTCACTTTGCTGTTCCAGGTATTCCTCTGAGTACAGACAAAGTATTTGAAATTCCACAAATTAGGCATGGAAAAACAGAGCTTTAAGGAAAGACAGTAGTAAAATCTTTAATAACAGAGACATTCTCAAATGGGGGTGTTTCCTTTAACTTGCTACACATAATACAGAGAGCACCCCTTAACACGCTCAGAATAAAGGCATTAGAAGTGAGAAAATAAATCTGACAGTACCTACAGTGCTTCAAATAAATTAACAAAACCAGTTTTTGTGAAACATCAGATTAGTAAAAATGTTATAAAATAAATTATTAGAGGACTTGCTCCTCTAGTCTGTAACCTACTAGCTTCTTCTGTAATGGCCTGCTTTTAAATGTCTGAGTAGGATGCTGTGGAACCTAATAGCCTGATCAGGTTCCTATTAAATTTTGGACAGTCGAGATCAATGAACACTGGAGGAATCCTTTCCTCTTGTTTTTTTCTGCTTTAGTATAAAAAAAATTAGTTGTCTATTCCTTTTGGTTTTTCAGTGAATGCATTAAATTTACTTGTGCCATAATTAAAGCTCATTCAGCTCTTTATGTAAGGGTTTAAGTGGGAGGGAATTATGTCTCACACTTAAACTGGGTGTTATAAATCCAGGTTTTCAGAATAGTAACATCTTTTAAGCTTCAAAGTCCAATTTGTCTGTGCTCTTAGTGTTTCTCTCACAACATGAATAAAGTCCAGCTGGATAGCATTTTCAAGTACTGCAGCTTGACCAGTATTTTTGTACTCCCTCCCGAGTTGCAGCCAAGACTACAGCCCCCTCCATCTCTACCAGTCATCCTGGCTATATAGCTGTCTCGGTTTCCTGGGGGAGGTCCAAATCACCATCAAAGACCTTCCTTTTGATGGACTTGAACTCTCCTCTGAGTCCACCAATGAATGTCTACATACTTTGAGAGATTCCAGGACCACTATCAGGTCCCTCAGGATATATGCACCTGCAACAAAAGAAAATGTCCAGTCATAAAGGGTACAGAAAGCTTGTCTGGTTTAATTCTATACTTATCATAGGCCTTCTGAACCCCCTAAGAGGAGTCTGAAATTCCAGAATGTAAGAACACCTACCATAATTGCTACCATGACCCAGCTGTCCTTTTCATTCTGCTGTCGATTTTGACGGTTTAGCTGAGGGTCCAGAACATTCCCACCTTGTGAGTCTTCAGCTGTATCGTCCCACACACCTCTCTCCCTTTGAAGACTGTGGAGTAGATGATGTCAGACAAATGGTTTATTGAGGCCATAACATCAGGTTATTCCATTCATTTCACCTCCATCCTCCATGCCCCCTCTTTCCTGTCCCTTTCAGAGACTCATCTCATGATATTTTGCTGAGACAGGAAGTCATTTCTTTTTTATGCATAGGGGCCATAGAAATGGTTCCATCCAGCACAAGATTAAGGGATTCTATTCCAAATATTTTATGATCCGCAAAAAGAACAGGGGATGGAAACTGATATTAGTTTCTAATAGAAGACTTCTAAACATCTTTGTGAGATCACAGAAATTTAGGATGGTGACTCTCACAGGTATAATTCCATCATTAGATTCCAGGGATTGGTTTGTGGCCCTTGACCTTCAGGACAGTTACTGAAATTTGCAGAGCTGCATCCTGGACCTTAGTACATACCTTCTCCAAGCATTGGGCCTTGGTTCACGCTTCTGGAATAGATGCTGCGGTTGGCAGTGCAGTTCTGTCTTAACAAATCCCCCTCCTTTTTCTGGAAATCACCTGAAGTGGAGGACTCATAGGAACACTACTTGAAGAAGAAAGAGAAGTTACCTTGTGCGGGGTATGGAGTTCTTCAAGATGTGTCCCTATGGGTGCTCCCCTACTCACCCTACTTCCCTTCTGCTTCAGAATTTCATCTCATGGGACTTTGGGGTAGAGAAGGAACTTCGTGCAATTTGCCCATGCAGCTGTATATATCCTTGGTACAGAGCATGAGGATGTCTGGAGTGTATGTGCGGGGAGCACTCATAGGGACATACATCTTGAAGAACTCCAGTTACTGAACCAGATGAGTAACCTCTTCTTTGATTCCAGCCTTATTGATCAGAATTAAGTATGAAAATTACAAATTCATTTTCATTAGCTGGTGTTAAGTCAATCTCAAGAGACAGGTGCTGTGGACTGTGGTCGTGTTCTGTTAGTGGACCTGATAGGCAGGTTAGATCAGGATTCAAAACTGCAGCAGAGAGGCTGGGACCCAAAATCTTAATGTGACCGCTAACATGGGAATTATTTTTCAAAGCAGCTGTCTGCAAAAGAAGGGAAATTGGAAACAGTGGATATAGACAGTCATGACAGGATTGTAGGAATCTGGGATTCCTGACTGCATAGGTCTTTAGAGACCACCCACTGAGCTTTGGCAGGTGGTAATGTAATACGCTATAATAACATAGAGGTTCTTAATGAAATTTGAGAACTGTTTTATCTGAGATCTTCATTACAAATACAATAATCCTTTTACTTGTGTTCTATTACCAAATTATATCAGAAATGGGCAGAAGAGACTCCAGAGATGGGACCACTAACTATGCAATACTCAACTAGTTAAGGATTTGTAAATAATCAAGTCTTGCTGTGGAATTTGACCACATGGTTTTCTGGCCCAGAGACAAGACATAGTCGTCTGAGCCCCTTTCATACTGAATGTGATCTTCCCATCCCACCCTCCCAATAACCACATTATAAAAATCTAAACATCGTGTGGGGTGTGGAAGGGACTCTGAGGCGGAGGATACTGGGGAAAACTGTTACCATTAGAAAAAATGCCCTGTGATCGATAATGACCACATAGAAACTCATTTTCAAAGGACTCATCTGAAATGCCCACACACATAGTAAATTGTTTAGAACTCTGTTTTTCTACCTTGCAAGGATGAATGGCAGAATTGAATCTACCAGCATTTGAATCAGTGCCTCCCGGGAGTATGTTTTCTGAAATAAACATTAAGCCACCCGCTTAGTAAGCACACACAGGTCTCAAATACTGCTGCTTGAAATAGGCGATTAGATCAATGCAATAGGATGGGGGTTGAGCCACACGTGATATCGCCACACATAAGACTTCCTAACTCTTAATAAGAGTGCCTAACTGCTTTTTGTCTTGATCAACACAATTTATAGCTGAGTATTGTAAGGGGAAATCACTCTCAATTTTAAATGTATAATTCAATCTTCTAGTAGTAGCGGTTCCCTTTTTGTTGCAGTCTGTAGCTTAAGGAGACAAAGCTCTTGTTTGCAGAGATATTGTAGGGATTACTGCTTAATTATAAACCAAGTTAACATGAAGAAAAAACTATTTGCCGTGAACTGCATAACCTCATTCCCTTGGCACAAAGCCACCAGACAGATTTTCATCTTAATGCTTACCAGATTAGGCATTCTAGATCTCAGAATGCTTTTATAACAACTTCCCACCCCCATTGCTCCATCACTTCTTTTGGATCTAGAGTATAATACATAGTGTGTATATTTCATCTGGGGGTGGCAGGAAAAGAGTTTCGCAATATATAGTAGGAGGTCCATAGCATATGACTAATAGTTGCATTGTAAAAGAATTCATGTCAGAGACTGTGGTTCTGATAATACTTATCAAAGAATACATACTACTTAGCTTTCTCTGGCAGAGGATTCCAGCTCCATTTAACTGTCAATGTATGCCTTTATCTATAATCCTTCCAAGTCTGGAATTCTTGATAGAGTGCCAACTGTCTTGGCTTACATATTATCAGAAAGAGAAAAGCCTATGATAGCGGTACCAAACAGGGCCAGTGTAGTTATTCAACTACCTAGTGTCCGGCTTCTAATAATGATAATTATATAAATCCTGGCTGTCTTCATATCTTTGGAAATGTGAGATAACAAACTGCTTTATGAGCATCTGAACTAGCTGCATGTGAAATATGTTACTGTTTTATCAAAGATTGATCTTGAATCATTTTGATGACAAAATGTTAGTGCTTTATTAATGATCAGAGTAATATAAGGTTTCTCTTGAAAATTTTGTTGGCAGCTTTTACTATCAGGCTCAGTGCAGTAATACTTTACCATGGTCATTCTATTTGCCCAATTTCCTCCCAAGCTCTTAAACAGTTTACTATCAAAGCATTTTTTCCTTCCAAAATTTCAGTGGGACGGTATTTGGATTTGTAGAATAGGCACGTTTATACTTTATTTAAAACAAGCATTACAGTTGTCATAAGGTTTAGAGTTGTCACTAACTGGAACTTGAGATTTATTATTATGCCTGTGGCTAAATATTAATCTGCGTAAAGGGGTAGCTTATTTTCTTATTTTAAAACTTCTTTGAATACTTGCAGATCCTAATAGATGAACGAATGGTTCTACTGGAGGGATCGGTGGAGCTGATTTATTGAATTAACAAATAACAGTTGAAGTGTATGTACAAGACACCTATCTTTCTGATAAGCAGTCAACCATTGCTTTGCTGTTAAGTTTCAGTAAAAGAATGCATGTTTCTGAAAAGGTTGAGCTGATAATTTGAATGCATTATTTGTCCTTGATCTTAATCATTCAAAGTGTTCACTCAGGTAGTTCACCACTTCCTGTTTCACTCCTATCCAAGAGATGCAGATGAAAAAGGAGCATTTAATGTGGCTCATTCTATACAAAGTGTGTCCACCCTAGGTTTCTTTGCTTTTGGTCTTAAGCTACTGCTTTAAGAAAATTTGTGGTTATCTGATCAGAATCATGTGAACATAGCTCAAATTTATGAGCTAGATTAGTTCCTGAAAGTAATAAATCTCACATTGTTCTTGATCTCACCATGTGTCTAGGAAGGGTCACTCTCAGTGCTGAAGTTTGACATATAAGGGATTAACGAGAACCCATTCTAAGCTGTTGTGCACACTGACAACGGCCCATTGCACCAAGGAGCAGCTGTTGGTAGAGAGGGTTTGTGGAGGAAGCTGTAGTTTCACAACACTCTTCCAGCAGAAATCCCCCATTGTAATGCTCTATAATATATATATATAAAAAATATACACATGAAGGTTAATGAAGTAGTAGTAACAAAAAATGTGCCTTACACATGAGTGGGCTCCTTTTCAGATTTTGCTATAGCGGGATGTTCAGGAGAGGACATTGCTATGCCACCTACCTGTCCAATCCTCTGAGGACAATTGCGTACATCCCAGCTTGCTGGTGTTTGCTTCCTCCTCTGAAAGGCAGACTCCTTGTTCTTTCCTTTATCCTCACTAACTGTTAGAATCTGCAGGGCTGGAATCTGGGACCATGGGGGTTCTGGGCTGCTGACTTCTCTGCATCCCCACAGGAGGCTTTGGCTGAGCTCCCAAAGGAGGGACCCTGCACAGCTGGGCTCGGCAGGAAGTACCACCCAGCAGGACCTGAGTGGCAGCCCTTCACGGCCCTCTGGCTGATACCAGTACTTAAACGAGGAAGCCATGAAGGGGAGTTGTCTGAGGAACAACACAGACTGCCTGCCTTTCTCTCCTCCAGACCCTGCTTGCAGTAGATCCTAGACTTCAGGCTTCTGACCCTGGTTTGTCCTTGACTTTGCTATTAGATTGCTGTGTGTAACTTGGCTCATGACCCTGATCTCCTGGTAACCTGGCCTTGGCCTGCTTCCCAACACCTGACTCATGGTTCACCATATGGCCTATCTCTGACCTCATGGTACAAAAGTACCAAGTACTTGGCCTTATTCACGATTCCTGGTCCGACTATTAGGTTTGACGGCCCTTGTCCCAGTCGTGACACTGATGATATATTTCTCTCTAAGACCAGTTCTGGTTTATTTTTTGGGCAAAATGTCAAACTTTTTTCACCATCTAGGAGGCAGCAAATCAAATTTTGAATTAAAAATATTTGATGTGATTAAAGTGAAGACTGTTGCTGCACAATTTTAATTATAGACAATATTCTTTACTTCCTTTCCTGGATGATTACACAGTGTTGATGTATACTGCTAAACTACTTTTTTTTCCACTAGAGGTAGCTGTATTTCATTAGTGGGTGAAGTGATTTATGTCTGTAGTTTGTACATAAAATTGACAAATATAATTTTGTTTGTTTGGACAATGCTACTAATTACTTCTCTTTTTCTTTGTTGTTGAAATATTGCTTTTTGGAGACACTACAACATAACAAAGAAAACAGAGATAATGCAAAATGTCCAAGACTTGCATACTCACATCATCATTTGTGGGCAATTGAAGTAGGGTAAGATAGATGATTAGCAAGTGGTCATCACTTTGTCATACTCAGGAAATCCCAACAGCTGAGGCCTGAGTCAGCCCTTTTAATTATAATTTACACAGCCATCATATGTATTTATAGGGGGTTTGATTCTCTTTATCCATATCTAACAGTTTTGGGGAGTCCTTCTCTTATAAGTTGCCTACTAACTTAACTCAGCTAATATTAACATATACATCAACTAGTTACCATCGCATTCTTGTGGTTGAACATCTGCTGATGTTCCTATCTTAAAATATCCAAAATTACCATAAACTGGTACTTTGCAGTCACCTGTCACCAGTTTAGGCATACTTTTGTATTGCAGCACTCTTTCTTGTGAAATGTTATGATACAGATCACTCATTGGTTAGTTGCTTATGAAATGTCTTTAGGCCTTAGGCCTCAGTTATTTTGGCTAAACTGTTGTCTTACGTACTTGAGGCCTGTAGGCTTTTGCGTTACTGCCTTAATCCATAGCTATATCTTTCTTAGCATATACCTATATATCAATAGTAAAATAACTGTCCACAAGATCTATGTGTAATTATTTTTTCCTCCTAGGTGTTCTTCCTCCCAGTGAAGTCCTGATAATTCACTCATAGCGGTATACCCTGATTAATACTCCCATTTCTCTTCAGATGACTATCTTTGGGTCATGAAACCATGAATGAGATTACTTTGGTAGCCTTTTAGCACTCCTGCTTTATTCATGTGTATATGCTATTGAGATAGCCTCTGTCCCAGGGAAAAGAGTAATGCACCTGTCAATCCTCTGCTGACAGACTAAATATGATCTTGCAGGGCCTCATCACAGAAGTTGGTGGTAGGAGAGTAACAGCTAGAATTTTGGGAATCTGTTTGTCAGAGCACAGAGGGCACTGGAAGACCCTTTGAAGCCAGGGAGTCCCGATCACGTGAGCTGTTTGATCACGTCTTGATCCACCGTTGCCTCTTTCTATCCAGAAGCACAAAACTAAGACTGAATGTGGATTAAAATAGGTAATTTGGTGTCCAAAATGTTACTTTTTGCTTCTAACTACCATCATACATGTCCCAAGATTTTTAGCTGAATAAGCAAATGTTCTATTGCTTTCACTATCAAATATTACCAGTATTACTTACCTGGAAAAGCTACGTCAATGACAAATGATATTCACATTTGCTTACAAATATTGTACTTTACCATGATGCATATTTTGAATCAGAACATTTTTTGTGATGTATTACTGCCTCTCGCTATAATTTATAACATTTCAGTGGATAATGTTTTAACTTTCTATTCTGTGGAAATTATCATGTTTATTTCAGTAACTTCACTAATTTTGTGATAATTCATCATAGTTTTTTAAATAGAAAAGTCACTTTTAAATTAATAATTTTTTATTCATAAGAATGGAAAGACTTGGTGTATTTGACAAGGGTTGCAAAGGGCAT